TGGGATCCTTTTTACACAAGTTGTTTGGTAGCTACTTTTACTTCTACTTGAGTCGTTATTTCCTCAAGTAATTATATAATTTTTTTCTGCCCACTTTAGTAATGTCCGATTTTTCTCCTACTAGCTAGGTCTCCCACTATCACACAGTGCCAAGCTGGGAGTGTGAAGGCTGAAATGTGCTTTCTTTGAGACATGTGGATTGCTACCACATCCTTTCAAACTGCTGTTAACGCAGTGTCACCAGACAGCTCAACACGCTTGGAGGAGAACACTGTCAGTTCTCTTATGTCACCTGACAGACCCTTGCTTTAGCTAACATCACATTGAGTGATGGTGGTAAAGGGAGGGCCATCCCACCCATGGAGCTGGACTCCCAGGCACAGATGGCTGTGTCATCGCTGGGGATCAAACACACCACATTCAGCTATCATTGCACTAATAACATGATCACCAGCTCCTCTTCATTTACATTCTGTCTTAAATGAGGCCTTATTGTGATATTAAAGGCCTTTACATTATATAGGGCTATAATCAGTGTGCAAAATACCCCTGGTATTCAGGGGTTCTGTGTTGGCTGGTTACTCCAGCATTGGCTAGCTGCTAACTCATGGCAACAAAATCTTTGGTTCTCCTTTCTAGTTTGGTAGCCCTGAAATGGTTCTAGTTTAACCCCTGAAATGGCCAGGCCCAAAGTTTTATTACACACTTCTATAGTCTAAGAATAGCTCAGTAAGTTTGCACTGAAGTCACTGTAGCTACTGAATAATAAGCCTTAGTTTGTAATAAGTCTGGGATTTTATGGGGTTAATTAGGATCTTACACATCTCCTCTGGTGTTCTAGTTTTGTTTTTATTTCCTGAAAAGTAAGAGTTTTGGTTTAGTTTTAGTTTAGTTTTTTATTTAGTTTCAGTTTTAATTGTAGTTTTTAGTACTATGATGAACGCTGTGAAAGTAGGTATTTGATAAGGGTAGAATAAAATCAGTACAGCAGTGGACTGAGCTCGGCTTGGCTCCAGCTTGTCTTAAAGATGGTCAAATACAGAAAGGATCCACTTCTAAACTCTCATTCAGACACAAATGAAGTTAGTTTAGTTAGTTTTGCAATGCATTAAGTTTTAATTTAGTTTTCGTGTTTTTGAAAACTCACTCACTCATTCACTGTCCAAGCCACTTATCCTCTTGGGTGTTTGAAAAACTGTTATTTTTATTTTTATTTCAATTAACAAGCACATTTTCTTAACTGTTAGTTTTTGTTTTAGTAATAGTTTTAGTTATTTATAGTATGCCTGCCCTCCAGAAGTCTAAAAATCTCACTCCAGTCACCCCAGGGTTAGCAATCCTGTTATACTGTAATCATTTTACATATAGCAAATCATCACTGTCAAAAAAAAACAAACAAACAAACAAAAAAAAAACGTGTCTCCAAAATGGTAACTTTACAGGAGAGGGCAAAAATATTCTACATAAGTTACTGTAAAGAGGTTTATTTCCAAGTAATTTAGCAGCATTTCTATTGGCCCATTCATTATGAAAATCTGCCACAATGTAAAGGACAATTGCTGTGCTCCAATGATGTAGAAAAAAAAAAATGAAATAAGTGGAGATACAAATCTTCTTCTAAGGGGGGGCCTCAGATTTATAATAATAATAGCCCTTATTAATCTTAATCCAGCAAGCTGAGAAGCACCAGTTTTAATGACACACTGCCACTCTGAGCCACACGGGTCATCCAGTTCAAGTCTTGCTAAACCAGTCGAGGAATCTCTCCGGCAGAGACGTCTCAATGGTCATCTGTTTTGTACCAGGCCTTGGCCAGTTCTGCAGTGAGCTGAAGGTGTTCTGAGAACAGCAGGGGGGCTTTGCCAAAGACATGCTTATTGTGTGCATATGATGTGACGGAGGGTCAGTGGGAGAGGCCCACTCCTTTCACCTGATTGGCTCAGGGAGCCTTGACTGACAGGTCCGGGGGCCTCTAGGAGAGCACTGGAGCTCAGTGTGATCTTCAATGAACTTGATTGCACAATCATTCCAGGTACTTCAGGAAAATATCTAAAGGAACATCATAATCCTCATATGCACACATATACACACGTTTAAAAGGACAGATCAAACTCATCTTACGCATGTTATGTTCTCCGACTTGTAAAAACACCCTGTTCAAAGTTATTATTATTTAACCAAGATTAAATTCTCTCAGGGTTTTTTTTTGTGGTGAATGTATTTTGGGTGGCCACATAGCGAGCATTTCATTACAGCTAGACCATACACTAACTAAAGCTATGACTACATGCGTCTCTGATTTCTCAGAAAAGTAGGATGTTTGGGGCGCACTTGCTCCAAAATGTGCTGAAGATCTGTTTCTGTTTTACTGACACTGCACATGTGATTGGGGAACTACACTGTGACACTGTTGGTACATGGAAAAAAATACTGTTTGGTCAGAGAACCTGTATAAGCACTCGGAGGGACAGAGCGTGTGCCAAAAACTCTTGGCAGAGAATCAGAGACACAGGAATACAAACTGAAATCAAGAATAAGGGAGTGATGCACATGTGCAGACAAGGGCAAACCTTTTTAAATCAACAGTTCAGTCTGGTAATTGATTTATAAAATGCAGACTAATAAGAAAATTTCCCAGTATTAATGCCATTAAGTCCACCAATTTTTCATGATTTCTGCGTAGTTCAATCGTCGAGATGTAAGCATGGTCATTCAGAGTGCTTTGTCTGTAAAATGGTTTGAGACAAATTTACAGTGGTGGTGATAGGAACCAGAGGTCGCAATGTCTACAACACAAACATAGCCATTTTATTTACTATCCAAAACGACCAGTGAAATTACATGAGTATATCGCTGCTGTCGGAACAAAACCTTGTATCTCTGAAATGATAACTTTACAGGAGAAGGAAAAAACAACCAACCCCATTTCCAAAAAAGTTGGGATGCTGTGCAAAAAGTAAAAAAACAATTCAATGATGTGCAAATCATTTAAACCCTATATTTCATTGAAAATACTACAAAGACAACAAATCATATGTTAAAACTGAGAAATTTTATTGTTTTTTGAAAAATAAATGCCCTTTTTGAATTTGATGCCAACAACACATTCCAAAAAAGTTGGGACGGGGGCATGTTTACCACTGTGTTTCATAACCTCTTCTTTTAACAACACTCTGTAAGCAATTGGGAACTGAGGAGACCAACTGCTATAGTTTTAAAAGTGAAAGGTTTTCCCATTTTTGCTTAACATAGGATTTCAACTGCTCAACAGTTCAGGGTCTCCTTTGTCATATTTTTCATTTTATAATGTGCCAAATGTTTTCAGTGGGTGACAGGTTTGGACTGCAGGCCTGGACACTTTTAATACAGAGCCATGCTGTTGTAATACATGCAGAATGTGGTTTGACACTGTCTTGCTGAAATAAGCAATGCCTTCCCTTAAAAAGACGTCATCTGGATGGCAGCATATGTTGCCAAAACATGTATATATCATTCAGCATTAATGGTGCCTTCACAAATGTGCACGTCACCATGCCATGTGCACTGATAACAAGCTGAGTGGTCTTTAGCCCGGAGGACACAGTGTCCATGATTTCCAAAAGAAATTTCAAATATTGATTCGTTGGACCACAGAACACTTTTGCACTTCCCCTCAGTCCATTTTAAATGAGCTCGGGCCCAGAGTTCCTGGATCCTGTTTATATATGGTTTCTTCTTTGCATTTTAGAGTTTTAATTAGCATTTGTGGATGCAGCGCTGAACTGTTTCCATTGACAGGGGTTTTCAGAAGTGTTGCTGAGCCCATGCAGTGATTTTCACTACAGAATCATGTCTGTTTTTTAATGCAGTGCTGCCTGAAGGCCCAAAGATCACGGCCAGCAAATACTGGTTTTTGGCCTTTTCCCTCACATACAGAGATCTCTCCAGATTCTCTGAATCTTTTAATGTTATTATGTATGTAGATGATGAAAAACAACAAGTTCTTTGCTATTTTACATTGAGAAACGTTATTCTTGAATTGTTGCACTATTTGATTGTGCAGTCTTTCACAGAGTGGTGAACCCCTCCTCATCTTTACTTCTGAAATACTCAGCCTCTCTGGGATGCTTATTTTATACCCAATCATGTTATTGACCTGTTGCCATTTTTTTTTTAGCGTTACACAACTTTACCAGCCTTTTGTTGCCCCTGTCTCAACTTTTTTGGAACGTGTTACTGACATCAAATTCAAAATGGGCAAATATTTTTCAAAAAACAATAAAATTTTTTGGTTGCAACATTTGATATGTTGTCTTTGAAGCATTTTCAATTAAATATAGGGTTTAAATCATTTGCACATGATTGCATTTTCCTTTTATTTACATTCTATCTCTATAGATAATCCATGAATGGATTTTTAAAATACTTTTTAGATCAAAATTGCATCTCAAAACTATCATAAAACAATGTCTCAGGTGACATGTTTGCTTTCTGTGTGGGAGTTTTAGAGACATTAAACTCTTCGGAGGTCTGGTTGCTATCTCCATCACTGTGAACTATTCTGACTCCCTAAGTTTCTCTGGAATGGTTTCACATCAAACCACTCTAAATGACTTTATATCTTAACCATTTAATTATGCAGAAATTTTGGAAACCTGGTAGAGTTCCCCTTCAAGCATAAACAAACAAACAAACAAACATAGAATTGAATATCAGAATTTCTTTTATTATAACAAATTTTTTGAAAAGCTTTTAGTGAAAATGAGTAAATTCTGTATTTTCACTAAATCAGTCGAGGTTTGCTCTTGTGAGATTTATAACAGTGTCGTACTGGAATGACCTTCGTGACGTGAACGCGCCTTGTTGTTGTTGGTGCCTCTGAGTGGCAGTTACGCTTTGGTGGCACTTTTCTTCTCGGGATGCTTAGCCACGCCCCCAGACTCACTTTCGTCCAATAGCGAGCGATGAGGAGACGGTCTGCTTGGTATAAAGTGGCGGGGCAGCTGCAGGTCCTTCAGCCGCTGTTGTTACTCTGACAGAGAGAGCGTTCAACCGAGCTTTGATTTACAGCCGATTTCTTTTTGATTTGAGAGCTCCGTCAACACGTTTGCACACTGTACTATGGGAAAAGAAAGTATCTGGCTGCTGGTCATCGGATTTTCTCTCATTTCGTGCGACCCTCTTTCTAATTCCACTCAGGCACCTTCCTCAAGTAAGTGTATCGTGTTTAATACTTAGCGTATTTAAATGCTAGCTAGCTAATTTTATCTCCTCAAACCCTCTGAGCTCAGCAGCTTAACTAACGTCGTAAACTAACTAATAAACTTGAAAAAAACTGCATAAAACTTGAATGCCAGACGTTAATTTACCTCTATGTTAGCATGAAGATGCCAGTGTAACTGAAATATAAGCTAACGGTTATAAAACATGAGTTTGAAAAGGTTTAATATCAGCTGTGTGACAGAAAAGTATGTGTTCAGAAACCATAAAGGGGAAATCCACCATTTTTTTCAGAATTTGTTGAGATTCCTTAAGATGTAAACAGAATCATTCAGAATGGTTTGATGTGAAAGAGTTAATAGTAGAGAAACTTACAGACTGATTTCCTTACAGTGGTGGTGACAGGAACCAGGGGTCACAGTGTCTGCAACACTAATACAGTTCATTCCACCATTAATAGATTAAAATAAATTGATTCAAAAATATTGTAAGCCAAAACTTTATCATAAAACAATGTCTCAGACATCAGGTAGCATATATCTAAATATTTTAGTAACTTTCTATGAAAAGGTATGACTAAATATCATACGTTTTGTATTTTTGCAGTGATTTCACCAATATTTGGGATATTTTTTAGTTAAATGTTGCTCTCCGCCTTTCAAATGTCATTACAGCTCCTAATGGTTCATTTTTCCACTGAACCGTGAAGGCTCACTATTATTAGACCAACTATTCATAGGCTTGTTTGGTCTTTAGCTCTATGGGCGGTTGCATTCAGGTCAAGTTTGAGGGCCTCATCCACAGTTTGGGCACTGCCGTGTGATGAGGTCACTTGGGTTTGGCTACAAAGAAGCCATTCAGGTCAACTCAGGTGTGACTATTAAGTCTTATTTTATTATTAGGTAACACCACTGACTGGATTGAAGACTACAGTAACATTCAGTCCAAGTTCTCACTGCGACATGCTGAGTTTCCTGATGAGGACCTGTGCTACCTTGTCCCAGGAGAAACAGCCACTGTCTTAGACTGCAACTTCAAGCCTGATGCCCAGACCTTTCTGGTCATCCATGGCTGGTCGGTGAGTTGTGTACACACATCTCTCTGCATTGAGCCTTTTCGGAGAGGCAGTGCATATTGTGCATCAAAATCACTAATGACTATGGGGGGGCGCTTTGGCAAAAATATTACAAGTACAACCTGTATCACGATATTTAGTTAGGAATTGGAATGGACACCAGAACTAGATTGGGCGAAGCGCAAAAATGTAATATCATTAAATTTGACACTGCCACATTAAAAATACTGTCAACAACTATGAAAACAATGATTTTTATTCAACATTTAACATACTGCACTGCACTAATTCCAGTTAAAGAAGCCTAATTATGCTCTGTTTGTAAGGAGACATGCAGTTGGTCAGTGTTCCTTAAGGACTGATGATATCCACGATATGCTCAGAGAAGCATATTTTTATGTAATTTATCATGATAAGGGTAAATATCTTCATATTGCCACCCCTAAATTAAACAGGCTCTCTATAATTGGTCTAAATCTGTGGTTATGGTACATTGATATGTTCAGTGTTTTAGCAGAATTGACAATACCCATTATATATTATATACAGAATTTATCACAATAACTTTAACATATTTCCCAGTCGTACTAATGATATTGACATGGATATAAACATTAATAATGGCATAATACATGAAACATAATTTATGCTACTGATTTCCAACTAAAAGTATGTCTAACAGCTCACAAGTAGGTCTCATAGGTTAATGTATAATAGGTGAAGCTGTCTTGTTGGCATAATTACACACGGTCTATCTCTTGCAGGTTGCGGGGCTGTTCGAAAGCTGGATCCATAAGCTGGTGTCTGCTCTGTTTGAGCGTGAGCCCACTGCCAATGTCATCGTGGTGGACTGGCTGGACCGGGCCAGCCATCACTACCCTACCTCAGCTGAGAACACCAGACTGGTGGGGAGGGATGTGGCCAAGTTCATCAACTGGTTGGAGGTATACACGTTAGGAGATGTTCAGTTTCCACATGAAAAAAAAGTGGTGCATTGAGTTTACATGATTTAAATGTGTACATCATTTCCATGTGAATAAAACATATTACATCATCAGAACATTTGGTAGTTTTGTGTTGATGTGACGTATTTTATTTATTTGGAAATGATGTTAAAATTTAAATCAAGTGAATTCAGTGCATCACTTTTTTTCATAGACTCAACTTAGTGCCGCAGCATGTTTTGATGTCCACTTATAAGTTTCTCCTTGTCATTGTGATAACTGATCTTTCTTTTTGGTTGTATTGTGTAAATGAACTTTTGCTTGTTTTGCTGTGCAGGGTCTAGGCTATCCACTTGAGAAGCTGCACGTGTTGGGTTATAGTCTGGGTGCGCATGTGGCAGGCATTGCAGGAAACCTCAGCAACAAGAAAGTCAACAGAATTACAGGTCAGAACCATTTAGACAAAAACTATTGATGTCTGGATTTTCTATACAAATATGTTATTGGTTGATACTTAGGAATTTTAGGTATGGTTTTAAAAGAGTCCAGAGCATTGCAGCTATAAAAATATTCACATTCTCTCTTTGAGTTCTCTCCCTAACTTGAATCACCAAATACAAAAAAGATCCAAGAATTTTTCATGTGCATGACCACTGCACATGTAGGCTGTTGTGTACACTGTTAAAAATGGGGTGGGGAAAAAAAAATGTTGGAGTGTTGCCATAGAAGAACCACTTTTGGTTCCTTAAAGAACCTTTCAAAAACTCAGTTGAACCCACTCAATTGAAAAACTCCTCAAGAAAACAAAAAGTAGTTCTTCTGTGGTGCTCTTTTTGGTGTCTTTTTGTTTTTAACAGTGAAGCGTAGTAAAAGCAATTTCTTCTTCTATTGGTATTTATACATTAGTTGTTCTTCCTATAAATACACGTAAGTAAATCTCACAGTCATTGACTTGCATGCTTTCTTTTGACTCTTGACCCCTAGGTCTTGACCCAGCTGGCCCAACCTTTGAGCATGCACACACTCTAAAACGGCTGTCCCCTGATGATGCTAAATTTGTGGACGTCCTGCACACTAACACAAGAGGCAGCCCAGACCTGAGCATCGGCATCCAGAGGACTGTGGGCCATGTGGACATTTACCCCAATGGGGGCACCTTTCAGCCTGGCTGCAGCCTGCAGAACACAATGAGGATGATCGCTACTTACGGCTTGTACAGTATGTGTTCATACTGACAGTTGTATCAGTATCTAGTGATTACTTCTATGTATCAGTTTACCTTGGGGTGTCCAATCGTATCCACAAAGGGCCGGTGTGGCTGCAGGTTTTCATTCCAAACAAGCTGGAGCAAACCAGTTGGTCAGTTGGTCTTAGTCTTCAAACATTTCATCAGGTGACCTCCTGCTTTGTTGGAGTGAAAACCTGCAGCCACATCGGTCATCTGTGGATAAGATTGGACACCCCCGGCTTACACCAACAGTCCCTTAGGTCTGTTCTACCACAGCGCTTATTATAAGCTCTCTCTAAATAGTGCCAGTGTTTTTCCTGGAGAACTAGCATCCTGTGAAGTTTGTGGAGCTCCAACTAGGGATGCAAATTTAGGCAAATTAAACAATAACCAACCGTCACTAGTTGAAGATTGATAATTGTTAACCGGCAGGTCTAAATCAAGCGTGTGACAGTCAAAATATCAGTATAAAAAGTTATATTTACCTTTCATCACTAGCCCAAGTTAAAACAAATGTAAATGCTGTGACCGGGGCTGTCTTTAGCTCAACATTTCTCAGTAGCTGTCAAAAACTGTCACATCCTTCTCTATAATTTTTCACACTGTGAATCACACTTTACTTTCGCTTGCAAAAGTTTGATTTGTGTATGGTACATTGTTGTAGTTATCGTCCTCTTGAAAAAGTGGTCCTGAACACCATTTTTCAGTAGGTCTATCTAGCGGAACCAGTTTCCTATTGCACCCTCCCAGTAGAATTTAAAAACGTAACAACGTGAACGATAAACCCGTCTACACAAATATGAGCTGTTGTTTATTGGAAACGAAGTACACTTAAATTCAGCATTTTTAACTGATAGCATTGTCAAACAGTCTTTTATTTGTCAGTTAACAGTTAATTGGTTAATCATATACATCTCTCGTTCCAACGTTATTCTAACATACCTCATCCAGATGACGCAGCCGTTTTTAAGAAGCTACAAATTCCAATAACTGATAATATCGGCAGATATAATTTTATATTGTTGAGAATTAAATAGACACAAAAGCAAAAGTGAATGGTTTTCTTCACATATGAAATATCTTTTCATTACAAGATAAATCAAGTTACAGCTTTCTAATGTTTTATCTGTGAGATGCTTAAAATCTTAAAGCCCTGAAGTCTTAAGAGTCCACACTTCCGTTCCTCACCCTCATAACCACATATCTTACAAAATAGTTTCATAATAGTTATTATGTTACTGTAAAAATACTTTCACTTGTCCTGTAAGCATCTGCAGCATTCCCAGATTTAAGGTGAGTTTACTGTCACTATTTTAATAAATAAAGGCAAATGTAAATAAATTGCATTAATGCAGACCAGACTTTAACCAGGGCACATTGAGGGATCACCTCATTGCGTTGTTAAGTTAAAGACTGTAAAGGTTAAGCTCAGTAGGGTGCTGACCATTGTGCCCTTTCCGCCTTCTCAACAGACATGGACCAGCTGGTGAAGTGCTCCCATGAGCGCTCAGTGCACTTGTTCATTGACTCCTTGGTAAATCAGGATCAGCAGAGCCTGGCTTACCGTTGCAGCTCCAAAGAGGCCTTCTACAAGGGCCTCTGCCTGAGCTGCCGCAAGAACCGCTGCAATAAACTAGGCTACAATGTCAACAAGGTCCGAACAACCAGGAGTGCCAAAATGTACCTCAAAACGCGCGAGATGATGCCATACAAAGGTGAGTCTGTGAAAACTAAACCCAGGCATTCAGCAAAGAGAACAGCGATCTTTCAAAGTATTTGCGGAGCCTTGTCTGATCAGTTAGGTGATTATAATATGTCCAGCCATGTGTTATATTATAATGGCATCTCTGTCTCTCTGCAGTTTTCCATTTCCAGATTAAACTGCATCTCTTCAGCCAGAAAAATCTGACCATGGACAACCAGCCTGTTAAGATTTCTCTGTTCGGAACTCGTGACCAGAGAGACGATATCCCCGTAGTTGTGTGAGTGCCTGTATTTTCTGAAGAAAACACGTAGCTCTTTTGACATTTCGCAATAACAATGATCAGTTCAGTAATAGGACAATTGAGCAGCCTGTTTCCTTTTTTAAGGCTGCTCTGCACAGTAAATTACTGGCTACTAATTAAACTACTGGCTACTTGAATTACTTTTACAGTAATGTACTCCACCATGTTAACTGTAAATAACAGTAAACTAACTGTAGCTGTAACTGCTGTACACTTACAATAATTAGCTATAATTAAATACAGTAATAACATATTTGTACATAACAAATGTAAAATTAATGCAACTCAGAAGGCAGGGATTTACTATAAATTTACATTTGAAAAAACACAATTTTAATTTTACCAGACCAATAAGTGTGTTGATTGTTTCAAATAAAAAAAATTAAAAACAATATAAATGAACATGTTTTTTCAGCATATTTTGTACTGTATATGCACAGAATAACTCAAGCATTCTTAAATGCAGATACACATTTAAGGCAGTTTAACTTCTGCTATAATTTGCACAAACATGAAACAAACTTAATATCAATATCAATACAATTTTCCAGCATAAGAAACAAACAAATCAAACAAACCCAAAACTCCAGTATAAAGTCTTTATAACACCAAAACCAGAATTGTCATAATAGAAGCACTTAACATTAAACTATTAAAATGTCTTTTAAAATGCCTTTTTATCTCAGTTGCTGTCATATTCCATAATGCTATGTGGTACAGCTTGACATCAACCTCACAATAATATGCAGTATTATTACAGAAAGTATGTAAAGAGTAGTTAATTTCACAATGGAATAGATGAAGCAACAACTTGAACAGTTAGTGTTAAGTATTGTGAAATTCTGGCAATAATTAAAAATGCAGCTGTAACATTAGATGCCATGGATAATAGCATCATGACAACAGTCAGAGATAAATACAGGACAGCAATACCGTCAGTTATCTGTTAGTTAATCACCATTCCCTGCCCTGCATGTGATTCAACTCAGGATTGCATCTTGTGTCTTCTGTAGGCCAAGTATGATCACCAATATGACCATCTCCTTCCTGGTGACATCTGATGTGGATGTAGGAGAGCTGCTGATGCTGAAGGTCCAATGGGAGACAGATTCATACCTGCCTAGCTTCTTCAGTACCAACGAGTTCAAGATCCGCAAAATGAGAATTAAATCTGGAGAGACACAAACCAAGTGAGTACGCTTACCACAGATAACCGATGGAGGTGACCACAAAGCAGGCCACAAGTTCTTGAGAGTCTTGAGTGTATCTGAGCCTCACTGATAGCAAATTGTTCTTTCTTATCATCGCAGTTTCTTACTTCTTGAAGAAGTCATTTTTTGTAGAGCTGAAAAAACAAAGGTCTCAAAGAGTTCTTTAGAGTGCTGCTACTCTACTTTTGGGTCTCTAAAGAACCTTTTGATGGCTGGTTCTTTCAGAAAAACTCAACTGAATCCAACTGAAATGTTCTTTAGGGAAACACTCTAAATAACCTTCAAGTAAATAAACTTATTGCTGATGATATAATATATAAATAATAATATTTTGATATGAGGAAAAAAATGAGTGGCACCCTTGAACAACAAGAGAACATGACATGACAAGTCATAAAAAACAATATTTCAAAACCTGTGATTGGCAACTTTAAACAACAAGAGAACATGACAAGTCATAAACACCTGTTTAAGCTCTTTACTCGGTGTTCTTGTTGGGTGTAATATTTGAACTGATCTATGTCAGTTTGTCTAGTTACGGGAAAATAGAAACAGCAATTAAAGTACTGATGGGAAAAAATGAGTGGCAGAGAAAGTTCCATAAAAAGATAATAAAAACCTATGTTTCAATGTTAGAGGCCATACTGCACTTCTCTATGTTTATGTTTATGTTATTTTACCTTCCAGGGTGATTTTCAGACCCAAAGATGTGGAGTTTGGGGATCTCATTCAGGGTGGTGACTCTGTGGTCTTTGTGAAATCAAAGGAGAATGAACACAGCAAGAGAGAAGCAAGGTAAGGCTACAAACACTGGGTAAGGACTGACCCTAAACAACTATTTTCAATATTTACAATTCTATATATTTTACACAATTTCAGTTTTTCAGTTACACAGTTTTACAATTTACTGGTCTTGCGCATATAGATTTGTTTACAGGGTGTATAACTAGCCTTGTACTTTGCATCTAATGGTTGTCTCTTTTTTCAGGTCACACAGGCTTAAAATGCATGGCAGCTTCTTCAAGGAAGGTGTCAATGAATCAACAACAGATGTGAAGAAAGAAGAGCCAGTGATGCAGTCCAGTAAAGAAGAGTCCACAGAGAAACCAATGGAGGTGAACACAAAGAAGGCCACAACTTCTTGAGACTGTATCAGGGCCTGGTTAGTGACTTAAAAAGAAACTGCTGTGAACTTCGATGCTATTTGCAATCAAATTAAAGACTTCAGAGATGTAATCTCAGAAGATAAAAAGGGAATGTTGAACCTTGAAATTTGAAACAGATGGAGTGACGATACCCATTCTTAGTGTTCACCACATATAGGAATCAGCATGACAGCTTGAGCTTGAAGGCAGCTTTAGTATAGATGTATAGACTTAATGGCTATTTGTTAGTATTAAATATAGCTAAATAATATTATATAACAATATTATGTTACTTATTATTATTATTATTATTATTATTATAATTATTATTATTATGTGAGTTCTGATTGTGATATATACTATTATGGCTTGCCTTTGCTTTTACAATGACATACTAAATATGTTATATAACTGTGATTAAATATAAAATTCTTGCTACCTCTGGCTTAATAGTTCTCTGGAATTCAGCATTCCAATTAGGAAGTTATACACGTTCAAATGTTTGGAATCACTTGCCATATTAATAAGCTTTGCATTTTTATATACAACATCCAACTTATATTGTTATACTGACTAATTATATTAATATTTCAATGTTTTATTCAATGTTCAAATATGTATAATAAGAAAGCTGTATAACATTACGAATCAAATTATAATTAATAAATGAATATGATGTCTTGTGAATGTGTGTTTAATATATATATATATATATATATATATATATATATATATATATATACACATATATATATATATGTGTACTGTTATATGTATATACATATATATGTGTGTGTGTGTGTGTGTGTGTGTGTATATACATATATATGTTATATATATTTATTATTTCTATATTTATATATACACACACAAGACATTATATTCATTTACTAATTATAATTTGATTCGTAATGTTATACAGCTTTCTTAGTCATTTTAGAATTCTACATATTTGCTGTACTGCTCTACAATTTCCTTTTTACCTGTGGCTTCCTACTACTTATTTGAAACCTGTGGAGCTGCACAGGACTATCACACTAGAATCATTTAAAACATGCATCTGTAACAAAATTGAAAACTCTTAAACTGTTATTCCAAACTTTTGAACGGTAACGTATGTATGTTACTCTCTTATAATTATAAAATCAAATCAATGCGATGTCTAGTAGAATGCTGTATCTTCTGTTCATGAAATGTATGACATGCTTTGGTGTGTAATATGTCTGTAATATATGTTTGTACTTCAACCAAGTTTCCTTGATGTATATGTTCATTAAGCATGTATAAAACTTATAGTTTCTACATTCGATATGTATAGCAAAAAAGACATTTACAGGTCCCAAACCAAATGTCTTACAGTCCTAGTTTTGTAGCTTGTACTGCCTGTAGATTTTAGCACAGGTCACTTTAAAGTCATTGGTCTAATCCTAAGAAACTGACTTTTAAAATCATCCCTTACATACAGAGGCCTTTGCGTTGTTTTCTGTATAACCAGGAATTATGGTTTTCTTAAAAAAATCACCCGATATGTATTTATTTAACATATAGATCTACCTAATACACATTTGAACTGTAAATAATATCTGACAAATGTAACCTTTCAGTAACACATTTTAATAAATATAAAATGTAAAGTAATGAGTGTCTGAATTTCGGTTTCAGTTTCCCCTAAGTTTTGCATTGTGATATGACTTTGAATTCTATTTTAAAATTCACAGTTCATTACAAGTTTGAAGGTAACGAAACGAATAGTAAATTAAACAATGTAAAATTCAGTAGACTGTGTGCAGGAACATGTACAGTGCCTTGAAAATATATTTGCCCCTTCTTTATTTTGTCTTTTTGAATACTGTTCACATTTAAACAAACACAAGAAAAGACAACCTATGCAAACACAACATACCGTTTTTAAATGATTCATTCATTAAAGGAAAAAGATTATCTAACACTAACTGGCACAAATAGCAAATTTTGTTGATAATTGGGATCAAATGAACAAGACACACCCAGTCTTGATTATGGCCAGCCCTGTTGAATCTGAACATCATTAAAGGAACCTTTCCTGCAACATCAAGGTGGCTAAAAGGTCTCAACAAGCAGCACACTATGCCACGATAAAAAGAAGGCCTGGAAGAGATTAGAAAGAAACTACTAAAAATATATCAGTCTGGAAGGGTTACAAAACCCTTTCTAAGGCCCAATCCCATTTCTTCTTTTTACCCCTACCTTGTTTTCGAGTGTCACCCTAACCCCTTTGCACTGAGTTACAAGGGGTAGTGGTTGAAATCTTGCCCTACGAAATGAGACAACCCTCAAATTACAACAACATTGCTTCACTAACAGGCTACTAGCGGTGCTCTGTAGGCGACCTGGCCCGTCTTCAGTGATAGCAGAGAAGGGAAAAGTTCAGCAACCTCACTGCTGGGCTTTAGTTACATTTAGGGCATCATATTCCTTCAGAGAGGGGGTATAAGACAATTATTTGTTATCGCCCACTGCTAAGTCTTTGGTGATATGAAGCTGAAGTCAGCTTTTCGCCAGCTTCTTGTTCGAATTTTCCCATTCCACCTTAAATGGTGCAGCAGTTACATTCTGGCGCTTCAGGCGTCAGAACTGCTAGACTATTTAAGGTGGAACGGGAAGTTAGCTAGCTAGCTACCGACACTTTAGCATGCTATTAGCGATTTTTTTATGCTTGTTATGAAGAAAACGACCATAATACATTGAAACGACATTAAACTAAGATAATACGATAGTTATTGTAATTTTTTAATGGAAAAAATACTCACATTTGTGGGTTCTTTGGTTGCTCGCGCAGCCATCTTGCCAGTTTTTCTTTTTTTCTGATAACACTCCATTTGGAGTGTGCCTCTGAGGGCCATGTAGCCCTAACACTTCATGCTACCCCTCTATCTCAACAAAAATTGGGGCACCCTAACCCTAGATGTGAACACGCAAAACAGAGGGCTAAGGGCTAGATGGTAGGGGCAAGGGGTGAAATGGGATTGGGTCTAAGTATCTGTGACTCCAGACTAAGTTCAGCCCAAATGAGTTCCGCAACAAGTCATTCAGGTAGTTGCAAAAGAACCCCAGCAAACATCGAGGGATCTGTAGGACCCGCTTACCTCAGATAAGATCAGCGTTTATGATTCCACCATTAGAAAGACTGGGCAAAAAAAATATCCGTGGGAGGGTTGCAAGACAAAAACCACTGCCAACCAACAGAAACACAGTGGGATATTTTGCCAGTCAGGGGTCTGGCGCAAAGCTAACACAGCATTCCACATTAAGAACATCACACCAACTGTCAAACACGGTGGTGGTAGTGCGGGGTAGCTTCAGGGCCTGGGCGACTTGCCATACCTGATAAAAGTCTACGTCTGGTTTAGAAGACTGTTGTAGGAAAAATTTGGTTGCATTTGTTGCTGGTGGTACAACCAGTTATTAAGTTTAAAGAGATAATTACTTTTTCTTATGGCTGATAGAAGTCTTGCATAACTTTTATTTATACAATGTCAGGGCATGGAGGCACACAAATGTCCCATATGTATTATGTGTACATGAGCAGTGTTGTACAAGTTTCTTGAAAATTAGTAGTTACAGTTACTTGTTACTTCTTCAAAGAGTAATTGAATTACTTTACTAATTACTGCATACAAAAATTTATTAATTACTAAATGTTTATTTCAATTCTCTTATTGATGCATACATAACTATAGGTTGCTTGTCTGACAATCAACCTGGCAATCGATCTGTTTATTTTTGCCTGGCTCACAGACTTTGCAGAGGTATTTTTGGGTTTAAAAACAAGCCTTGGCTGTTTGGATGGAGTGGCTCCTTGGTCAACATCACTAGCACTGGGGACTTTGACGATTAGCTTGGTAGAAGTGTGTTGTTTTAGATTAGATTTACTGTTCTTTGATGTGGATGAAGTTCTGACACTTGCACATACACTACAACTCATCCGTCTACATGTTTCCTTGATCTTGAGGAGGGAAAAATAATTCTCATATTTCCAGGACGGCAAGCTCACATTGCCCGAACTGTGGGCCATTGTGTGGGCTAATCCTGGTTGATTCACTCATTTATTATGCCATTGTGAGGTGGGGTGAGGTTAGACCATAAACAGAAAACTAGGGGAATAGGCTGCATGTGTCTGCTATAGTCTGCAGGTGTCCATTAATATTTTAAAGTTAGAAAGCTAAATAAATAGTAATTGCAATTGTGTTATTAAATTTGAAAAGGTAATTAGATACATACTATAACTGTATCTCCAAAAAGAGAAACCTTAATGGAGAAGGAAAACCAAGGTGACCATTTTTTTTCTGACAGTTGACTGCCATGACACTTCTTTGGGTGAAATGACGTAGCATGTGATAGTAACTAATATTGTAGCTTAGTGTATATCACAGCGACATAACCTTGATGATGTGATATAACTTAAAAATGGTTACATGACCCTCACTTTACCTCAGGGCCTTACCAAAAACGCAAGCTATGTCATGTTATCAGCAATATGTCACTGTGACATACACTAATCTACAAAGCCTATGTCGCTTCGCCCCAGAAAGTGTCATTACAACCTAATTTCAGAAAAAAATGTCACCTCACATACATCCCTGTTTCCAAAAAAGTTATGATGCTGTGCAAAATGTAAATAAAAACAATGCAATGATGTGCAAGTCATTTTACCCATATATTTAATGGAAAACGGTACAAACACAACATATTGCTGCTGTCGGAACAAAACCTTGTATCTCCATTTTTGACATTTTTCAGTTTTTGACACATTTTAAAAATGCCTTTTGCTCTTTACGTTGTATGTAAATTTCATGATGAATGGACCAAAAGAAACGCCCCAAAATGACTTGATAAAAAGTCTGGTTCCATTGACTTACATTAAAAGTAAAGTATGTTTTTTCCTTCTCCTGTAAAGTTACCTTTTTGGAGATACAAGTTTTTCTTCCAACAACAGCGATATGAAATGCTGTAATTGAGAATTTTTAATGTTTTTTTAAAAAATATATGCCCATTTTGAATTTGATGCCAGCAACCTGTTTCAAAAAGTTGGTATGGAGCAACAAAAGACTGGTAAAATTGTGTAACGCTAAAAAAAAACACCTGGTGATTTATTGGCAACAGGTCAGTAACATGATTATGTTACCTTGACATCAAAGTTGGGAAATGCAGCCTTGGAATACACATTTATAAATGTTTATATAGATCTTTGGCAGTTGGATTGAAAGGGTGTCATGTAGCTTTATGCACACTGCCCTACAGTAAAGTGTTACCCACATTTTTAATGCTGATAGGTTGGATAGCATTCTTGGTGAACAAATATTTAAGCAGGACTGGACACTGTACAGCTGGGCTAATACGTTCCCAGCATTTACAGCTTCTCCTATGGCAACAGAGGCAGAAATGTCACAGCCACTGTAACCTGATGACCAGCAAACACCATCCACTGCACTGAAAAACATAATGCATTCAATTTATTTGTGAAATGTGTGCTTCATTTCCACATGAATAAAATCCATCAGCACAATTACTGCTAAAAGTACGTAAAGAATTGTGAACGCTGTACACATATGAATCGAGTAAATTCAATGCAATAATTTTTCCTTTTCAGATCAATTCAAAAGTTCTAACT